ACTTCGCTGATAGAACAAGTAAATGGAACAAAAATAAAGAACACATTAAGAAAGATAACAGGCAGGATGACAGAAGTACTTTAAAAACTGTGAACAAAAAGATGTCAACATTTCTAGCAATGGAAAGCTAGCAAAGATATTAGTAGAATCAATAAAAGAAGCAAAAGCAAAGGACACCTATGCAATGACCAATCTGGAATACAATCAAATCATCAAAATAGAAAACAAGAAGAAATATTAAATATGTAGCATAAGCTCTTAGAAAGCTGGCTAGATTAGGAAAACAACATTATTAATTTTAATTTCTTTTATTTATACAATAACAACACTGATGGAGCCTTGGCACGTTAGCCTTAACAAATATCATTTGAACTAGTCAATAGTAACAAGCTGATATGGAAGAAATTCGATATAGCCTAATATACATCTATAATAGTTTATAGATAGTAACTCTTGTAAAAGAAGTAATATATATAAACTAAATAAAACACGTTAGGCAAGGCCTAGCTAGTTGGGGAAAAAAAAATAAAAAATAAACTATCATTACTCTTGTTATACTTAATATAACTTAGATTAGTTTTAATATTGAATGGTTAATACCTTTTCAAAGCTAGATAAAATCTTGAAAACTTGGGTAGGCTACTTAAATTTGTGAACCATGAGTTTGTTAAAGTTATAATATGTAAGTAAGTTTAAATCAATTGTAGTAATTATATTAGTTTTTTTTTTATTGTAAACCTTGATTGAAGGTCTTGTCTATTTGATTCTTAATGCTAATAAAGTATTTGCTATTGTTAATTTTGGTAATCAAATTAAAATATATAGAAGTTTCAAGGTAGTGTTCATAAGTTTGAAATAGTTTTTGTTTAAAAGTTAAACATTTAAGTTTATTATATTACAGACAGATTTTTTAAGATAGGCTTTTTTATTAAAATTATGATTTAATATTTGTTTTATTATAGTATATAAGATGATAAAATTAGCTTTGCTCAAAAAATTGGTAATTTTTAATTTTAATTTGATTTTGATTTTTGTAATATTAAAAAATATGGCTATGAATTTCTAGAACAATTAGGCATCTGAAACAAAAATTATCCTTATATATGTTTGAGTATCTCTTATATAGGAGTTGCCTTATAAAAAAAGTTTCACTTAAAATTTTGTATCTAAAGGTAGCAAGGGCTTCTAATAGTATCACTTCAATACCAGTTTGATACTTAAATTTACTATAAATTTATATGAATAGGTCACAATCCATATATTAAATTTATTATAGATTGACACCATTTTGATATCACTTCAGTACCAGTTCATTATTTTTCAGAGCTCTACAAGCAAAAAAGAGTAGTTGTATTTGTTCTTTTTTATCAATAAGTTATTTGTTAACTTGAAATATTATAGTGCTATAATACATAATGTTTGATTCCATTTGGTTTTAATCAATATATTGTTAATAATATTGATAAGTCTAAAAATTGTTGAATCTTTTAAGTTAGGTTGATATATTATAAATTTAATATTAATTATTTTTTATTATATTCTATAAATTCATATATTAAAAAAAACCCACAGATCCATAGTACAGTAATTAGTACTTCACATATCAGATCACAAGATACTAGTTCAATTCTATGTGAAGGTAATTAAATAGATTAATATAATATCTGGCACCATAACCAATCATATGCAGTTTCTCATAAGAAGCCATTTCACATGCTGATTCAGCAGACATTAAGATTGTGATTTTTCCATTAAGGTATAGTGGTATGACAATCATCTGGTTGGTGTTACAATAGTCATTTAATACAAGGTATTACAGTACATTTGGATATATAGACTGGGCTATACTCCATCTTAACCAATCCTTATCAATTATCAATCACAACCATTCATTTGGATATATAGATTGGGCTATACTTCATCTTATCAAACCTACACAACAAATTCTCTATTGGCTAGCAAATAAGGAAGCTTTGAAGAAGAGCACTGTATCGACATCACTCTTGTATAGTATAGCTGATTAACAGTTTATATAAGAAGTTGTGCTTTGCTTGGCATTTATGTCCCTAGATTTGGCAGCCTAAGCCAACTGGATTTGCATAAAGTGTCTACTAGAAAATTAAGAAAATTATTAAGAGGGATATTTAAGAAATTCCTTAAGGAGTTGTGCCCCACTTGGCCATAAAAGCCCCTAGATTTGATAGCTAAAAGCCAACCAACAGTTAAAACCAGAGCAATTCACTAAAGAATATATCATGTCGAGGGCTCTTGTCACATTAGCTGCATAAGTGAAAAGGTGTAATGTGATAAGCAACTTTAGAAAGTAGTCAACAGTATTTACTGTTCTAATACAAAAATGAACTGATGGATTAGATGGTTTAAAACTAGTAGAATTTCCATCTCCTAGATAAGTCTCTCCAAAAATATATAAAATCTACTTTAAAAGTGGTGTTAATATAACTGAGATAATAAAAAGTAGATAGGCTAGCATTTAGCTGTTGTAATAACAATAGACAATGTTTGATATATATGTAAAATTGATGGTTATTCAATAAAATTCCTGCATCTAATAATGCTGTTTTACTATAAAAAAAAATAAATAAATTTATATATTAATTTTTTAACTTTATTTTATTAATATATGCTTCTAGATAAATATTACTTTTCTTCTTCTTTTCTTTTCTTTTTATCTTGAATACTTGAGGATTGGCTTTTGAAAAACTTGGTTTTCTTAAAAATCCTTGCATAAGATTTTTTGATTTAGAATTGACTCATATTCATTAATAGTACTGATTTATAAATTGCAATTTTCTATATTTAGGTTGTTTTAATATTTTTTTAATTATTAAGTTTAAATCTAAAACTTGATTAGTTTTTATTGTAATATTGTATTTATATTTTTATATAGCTTTCTAAAGTTCTTTTAAAAATTTAGAATAGCTTTACAAAATAGCTATCTTATTCTGGATTGGATAATTTGTTTTATATTTATCAGATTTCAGACTTTTATAGTTAAGATCTTTGATATTAGTTCAATTATAAAATTCAGCCTTTTATTTTTTCTTTAAAGATCTTTTAAGTTAGATAAAATATAGATAGCTTTGTATTAATAATATATAATATATTTAATAAATTTTCAATAAATTTTTTGTAATTCTTTTCATAGCTGTTAACTAGGTCTTACTAGTGAATTTCTCTAATACTAAGCATATAAAAAAATAGTCTTTGGTTTTAAGCTTAATATTGTAGACTTTGCAGTTATATATTTAATATAGTCAGGATTTATTTGTTTCAAGCCTATTTATTTATCTTTATTAGTTATATTTATATCTAGTTAATATATATTATTTAATGTTTCTATAAATATAACTAATATATCAGATAAAAAAAAACTCTTTCTTATATACAACTTTTTTTATAAAAATTATCTTTTAAAAAGTTTCTTTTTTCCAAGAAACTTTGACTTGTGAATTATATATTTAGAAGTAAGGATATAATTCAGAAGATTGTGATTGTGCAATAGAGATTTTAGCAATAATCTACTTAAAAAGGTTTAATATTTACAAAAGTATTGTTCAATATCTTGATCATTAAAAAACAAATAAAAACTTTTTTTTATATTAAGGTCTTTTCAAATATTAAACAAACACAATTCTTATACAATATTCTTTTCTTTTAAAATTGTACACTTATCAAAAGATAGTATTTTATTTTTCAGAGTTTTTGTTTTCTACTAATAATAGCTAAGCTAGTAAAAAATTCTCTATATATTTTAATTAATAATTAGTTCTTATCAATTTTCTATATTCAAAATTCTTTTTCAATTCTCATGCAAAAATTTTTCTACACAAAAAACTAAAATTATTTTTTTTCTATCAAAAGAATTTATAATATATAAAACACCAATTACATTCTGTATCACTTATATCAAAACAATACAATATCTACTGAATTAGGAGAGCATGTAATCAATGCCCTGATTCCTAATCTTAAAAGGAAGTTAGCCAAGTTTAAATCAGAAAAAATTAAGCTTCAGGTTAGGCTTGCCAAAGCCCTAAGTCAGGCTGTAAAAGAGTATAAAAAATGTGATGCTGAAAATGCTAAACTCACGACTAAAATTGAGAAGTTAAAGAAATGTAAGATAAATTCTTCAATTAAGAATTTTAGACACAATATTGAGTTTTTTGAGCTAAAGCCAAAGTAATAAAACCAGTCAAAGGTGCTTAGGCAAGGAATAACAATAAGAAAAACAAACAGCCAGCCCAAGATATTTCTCCTGAAGTAATTGTCAATATATATCTAGCACTATTATAAATTAGTATAATAAGGGGTTCCAAAGAGACCAGGTTACTTTTCCACCATTTTATGTTAGTGATCAGAAGTTATCGAAGGATATAAAAAATGGATACTTTCTTAAATGATGCATATAAAAAAAGTGTTAGTAATGGAATAAGGCAACGTAATAGGGAGAAGAAGCTATTGCATGAATCAAAGTCATCAGATAGTACAGAAACTGTAGTGATCATACCAGATAATTTATCTGAAGTCTCTAAATTTTCAAATTCAAAAACTGTGAAAATACTTCAGAACCAGCAACAGAACAAAGAAGTTCGATCATATATAAAGAAAGGAGTGGAAAATATCTGCAAGATGTACTTGATTTCACTGTGGATGAATCTGATAAAAGTCACATGACAAAATTTTCGCTTACGGGCCATGAGGAAAATTCAGATGCATTGAATAATATAGCCCGCTTATACGATGTATGTAATGCAAAAGATAAAACGATAAAAGCCAATCAGGCAGAAATTTTATGCTGGTGTGATTTTATCATAGGACTGGATAAAAGTGTGGATGAAATTATGATCAAAGAAAAGGTGGATATGAAAAAGGCCAAAGGACAGATTTACAATTTTATTCTAGCACACAATCCTGGTACCAAACAAAATACTTTATATCAACGAATCAGTAGAGCCAGGAAGATTTATGAGTTTATCGAAAAAATAGGAATTGATAAAATCAAATATATCAAAACATATAGCGCGAATTCTATTGCAGAATTATCCGATAGTAAAATTCAAACCATTATTGATTACTTCTCCAAGAATCTCAACACTGAATTACTGAATAAACAGGATGACTCTATCATAGATTCCGAAGAGGAGGTTTCAGATGATCAGATTAATGCATCGGAAGCAGTTTCAGCTGAAGTAAAAATATCAATCGCACCTATTCCTTTAACACACTTTTCTAATTCTTCAGATGATTCCTCAGAATTCGGTCCAGTCAATTCGCCCAAAGCTGAGGACGATTTTGATAAAATAGTCATGGAAGCTTTCAAAGAGTCATTCTGTGTCTGCCTCCTGCAATTCGAAATATGAGGTGAGTGATAAAAAGGAATCTTTACCCAAGGAAGAGGTAAGTATGCCCGATAATTTCTTAGATTTTAATTTGGATTCCTTTGATGTTGATAATATCGATAATGAAAATGATGACGAATTCTCCGATAACAACGAAGAGGAAGATGATGATGGGTTCTGTGGATTTTCTGACGATGATGATAGTTATTATTATGATTTAAATACCGGTGAAACTTATACAATCTGTGCATATTAACGATTTTTAATATAACCTAATTTTCAGATACACGTCTCATAATGAGGATGCTCTGCATCTAATTGGTAATTTATATTAAATAGATATTTTTTTCGCCGATCATGAATTTCATTTCACCTGGTCTCGTTATAATGAATCAACTTTCAGACGTAATGTTAATAATCATTATTTCACTTGAGATCACCCTGTCCAAGTTAAGTAAATCCGAGATATGCAATTTTTCCTCTTATATCTCTATAATTAAGATGCAATATAGGTGCGATGAAGGTGCGATGAAGGTGCGATGTAGACAGATAAACTTTTTTCATATATAATTGTATGAAAAGAAGTGTACCTCGGTTGGAGTCATGTTTGAGTCGCGTTAAAATTGTGATGTGAGCTGACGATCAATTACTTAGCTTTGCCAGTTCCGCTAATGCACTTCGTGATTTTACATATTAACTCATTTAACGGGACACGACGGAGTTTACTTATACCCATTTTTATCAGAAATCGTTGAATTTATTTTCTGAACCAGATCATTACGTAGAAACACAAATAGGTAAATTATATACAGTAATACGATTTACATGAAGTTGTTTGACGTAAACTCAAACATCAAGTGATTCGTGCTCTCTTCTCACGTTTTATACATTTAGAAGTATAAATTGT